GAGGAAATAAAAGAGGAGCGACAGGGGAATGGAGTTTGCAGGAGACAATGAGTTCAATTCATTCGGGTGAAGATCTCTTCCTGACTTCTTGCCAAGTAATTGCTGCTACAGCATGGATTTTGGAAGATATCGGCCTGGCAGCTCTCCAAGCCTGATCAAGGTCTGTAGTTGTGAAATCTCATGAAAGACTGTTGGCCGGGACTTTGCTGGAGAGGGATTCCCTTTGAACTAAATAAAAAGGGTTTTATCGGGGACAAGGAGTCAGCTTCCTGCTTTTGGATAAGCTGGGTCCGAACAGCCAGAGACACCCTGGGAAAGCAGAGCATGGCGCTGAGAAACACAGGGCTGCGAGAGGCAAAGGCTTCCCCATGACGGCACAGGGAGGCCTCCATCCCTGTGGCCAGCTCTCTTACCGAGCCAGGGATTTGCGGGAAAGAGGCCAAGAGCAATTTGAGGCAACTTGAATACTGCCCGAGGGCTGGGTTGGCGCCTTCAGGCTCCTTCCCCAAATGAAGAGGATTTTAATTCAGCTGGGCAAGCATCTGAGGCGGTCTTGATGGAAAACATATTTATTTGACCACAGTCCCTTTCTGCTTTGCCGTTCCAGCCTCCGCTTTGGATTTAGAGTCTTAGGAGGTGAATCACGAAACTGCAGCAGCAGCAGCGAAGTAATCATAATAATTACACACCGAGAGATCTATATTAAATAGAATTGGCTGCCGAAGGTATAATTATTTCCAGCCTAGGAACAAAGTTAAAATTATATATTAAAAAAAAATATATGTCCCTATTAAGCTACTTAAATGACAGATTTAGCTCTCCTTTTCTCCGGAGGATTTGTTTTCAAACGGAAAGACGCACCTATTTATTTACCCCAGAAAAATGCAGTGCCCGATGCCACGGGCTGACGTTGGCACTGAAGCAGGCATAGCCATTGGCTGGCTGGCCTCAACCCACAGGGACAGCTGCACTGTGGACTCGAGGGGCACCTGGTGCCAAGGGCTCTGTGGAGGACGGTCGCAGCTCCCGGCACACGGAAGCAGCTGGGATGCCCAGATGTGCACCATGGTTGAGCCAGGCCTTGGGAAGGGGAGGTAGCAGTTTCAGGGCCTCCTGGCATCGCCCCTGCCAAGGCCAACTTCCTATCCCAGCCAAGGGTTTCATAATGTTCTGACCTAGTCTTCCCCAGCAGAACTAAGCCGGGTCCTCATCCCGATAAACCCCTTTTATTTAATTGACAGTGAATTCCTCTCCAGCAAAGTCTTTCCTCTCCCACAATCTTTAAAGATAGTTCACAATTACCGGCCTTTGTTAGGCTTGGAGAGTGGCCAGGCCGATATCTTTCAAACGCCGCAATACTTGGCAAGAATGCAGGAATGAACTAATTGTCTCCTACAAACTCCACTCCCCTTTCACTTAATTGACTGTGAATTCTGCTCATTCACATCCAGCAAAGTCTTTCAAGGGAGGATTTACAGTCACAGACCTTATCTGGCTTGGAGAGCTGCCAGGCCGATATCTGCAGAACTTGGCCAGGAGCCTCGGAGAGTCACAAACCAATGAAGTGAACTAATGGTCTCCTG